TTTGCCTCTATAATTCAAGTTTCCATGTACATTTCTTGCAACAAAAACCACTCTGTCTTTTTCAAAATTGTTTCTCCTGGCAAAAACTTTGTCTGGTCAAGATTTGTGTTAAAAATAAAGTACAGTACTACAGCATCAATCAACATTTAAAGTCCTGAATGATTTATGAAAGAAAATATATAATGATCCTTTTTGAAATGAGAAGCTAATAAAAGGGTTTTTTATATTATCAGGCATAGACCCTTGAGAAAATAAAATCACATTTGTGTTTAGAGACGTAAAACAGTATTAAGGACTTAAGTAATGTAAGAAAACAGATTGTTGGGAAAAGCTGTAAAGGGCAAGAATAATTTAAAGACGTAATAGAACCAAGTTTACTCCCTTCCTGTCTTTGCAACACTGGCCCCTTGCCTGCCTTTTCAAATACCACAGCCCTAATGAGGCCGAGCTTTTTCTGTAGTAATATTAACCCAACAAAAGAAGTGCAAAGTTCCTATACATTGATGATAAATACCACTTTTTACATGAAAGGAATTTAGACCACCTAAATGTTATCAGATATAATGTAGAAAACCTGAAAATATCCTACTACTGGGAGTTTAAATGGGAACTTGAACAAGTACTAAATAAATATTGCAAGAACTACAATAAGTCATAGAATCTTTTATTCCTACCATCAGCTATAGGGAATGGCTCAGGTATATATCTAGAAGGGAATGTGGCCTTAAGATGTTACAGAAAAGCTGGGCACAGCAGTACATGCCTATAAACCCAGTACTCGGGGAGGCTAAGGCAGGAGGATCACAAGTTTGAGTCAGGCCTGTGTAACTTAGTAACTTAGTGTGACCTTGTCTCAACAAAAGAATAAATAAAATATGAAGGGCTCAAGATGTAGCTCAATGTGAAGGCCCTGAGTTCAATCTCTAGTAGACAGAGAGAGAAAATTACAGTAGCATAACATACAGCACTGAGTTATAAGAGACCAGTGAATCAATTCACAGCTCTTTACACTACAGTGTAACCCAACCCTAAGATATGAAGTCTTCAGCAAACCCTTTAGGTGCTCAGTGTGTTCCTTCTGGGTTGCCCTGTGTCTTCCAAATAATGCTGTAGTTGCACCGGCCTTGATCTAACCAGATTGTTTTCTCATTAAATACTGGCTCTTGGTAAAGGCAGCCATTTCAACAGTGAGGCACAAAGCAGTGGATACTAACACATCTTCAAATGAGATGGAAATATCCAGAATAATCATTTTCTGACAAGAATACAGTAATGTGGAAAAATCATGAGCTTTGGTCATGGGTAAAGAGATAAGACTACAAGCCTCAGTTTCTTCAACCTATAAAAAAATGGAACTAATACCACTTTGGGGATGTTTTTTGAATGGTAAATAAAATGAGACTAGAACACACCGAATCAGCTCGCTGCAGACAGGCAGGTCTGTGCACGCCCTACCGAGGTCCTGAGTCGTGCAGAAGATGCCGAATCAGCCCACTGCAGACAGGCAGAAATCTCTGACCCCGCTGCAGGCAGGCAGGTCTGCCCACGCCCTACCGAGGTCCCCAGTCAAGTGGAACACGCCAAATGAGCCCGCTCCAGACAGTCAGGTCTGTGCACGCTCTCCCAAGGTCCCGAGTCACGTGGAAGACGCCAAATCACCCCGCTGCAGACAGGCAGCCACCTGGTTCCACACTACAAAGACGCAGAGTACACCAGACCACCAGACCAAGGTACTGAGTCCCGCTGCT